TGTTGAGTGCTGACTGCAACATTTAGTGCTGACTGTGGTGTTGAGTGCTGACTGCGGCGTCAAGTGCTGACTGATGTGTTGAGTGCTGACTGCGGCGTCAAGGGCTGACTGTGGTGTTGAGTGCTGACTGCAACATTTAGTGCTGACTGTGGTGTTGAGTGCTGACTGCAACATTTAGTGCTGATTGTGGTGTTGAGTGCTGACTACGGCGTTAAGTACTGACTGCGGTGTTGAGTGCTGACTGCAACATTTAGTGCTGACTGTGGTGTTGAGTGCTGACTGCGGCGTCAAGTGCTGACTGTTGTGTTGAGTGCTGACCGCGGCGTCAAGTGCTGACTGTGGTGTTGAGTGCTGACTGCAACATTTAGTGCTGACTGTGGTGTTGAGTGCTGACTGCAACTTTTAGTGCTGATTGTGGTGTTGAGTGCTGACTGTGGTGTTTAGTGCTGACTGTGACGCTGAGTGCTGACTGCGGCGTCAAGTGCTGACTGTGGTGTTGAATGCTCACTGTTGTGTTGAGTGCTGACTGCGGCATTTAGTGCTGACTGTGGCGTTAAGTGCTGACTGTGGTGTTTAGTGCTGACTGTGACGTTGAGTGCTGACTGCGGCGTCGAGGGCTGACGGCGGCGTCGAGTGCTCAGTGTGGCGTTAAGTGCTGACTGCAACATTAAGTATTAACTTCAGCAGTAAGTGCTGACTGCGGCGTGAAATCCTGACTGCAGTTTTGAATGCTGACTGCGGTGTTGAGTGCTGACTTTGGTGTTGAGTGTTGACTTCGACATTAAGTATTAACTGCAGCATTAAGTGCTGAGTGCGGCATTAAGTACTGACTGCGTCCTTGAGTACTGACTGGGGCCTTGAGTGCTGACTGCGGCATTAAATGTTGACTGCGGCATTAAGTGTTGACTGCTCTGTTGAGTGCTGAATGTGGTGTTAAATGCTGACTGCAGCGTTAAGTGTTTACTGTGGCGTTAAGTACTGACAGCGGGGTTAAATGCTGACTGCTGCGTTAAGTACTATCTGCAGTTTTGATTGCTGACTGCGGCGTTAAGTGCTGACTGCGGTGTTGAGTGCTGACTGTGGCATTAAATGCTGAGTGTGGAGTTGAGTGCTGACTGTGGTGTTGAGTGCTGACTGTGGTGTTGAGTGCTGACTGCAACATTAAGTATTTACTAAAGCATTTAGTACTGACTGCGATTTTGAGTTCTGACTGAGGCGTTAAATGCTGACTGCGGTGTTGAGTGCTGACTGTGGTGTTAAGTGCTGAATGTGGCATTAAGTACTGACTGCGGCGTTAAGTATTTCCTGCAGCGTTAAGTGCTGACTGCCGACTATGGCGTTAAGTACTGACTGTGGTGTTGAGTGCTGACTGCGGCATTAAGTGCTGACTGCAGTGTTGAGTGCTGACTGCGGTGTTGAGTGCTGACTGCGTCATTAAGTGCTGACTGTGGTGTTGAGTGCTGACTGTGATGTTAAGTGCTTACTGTGGCGTTGAGTGCTGACTGTGGTGTTGAGTGCTGACTGCGGCATTAAGTGCTGACTGCGGCATTAAGTGCCGACTGCGGTGTTGAGTGCTAACTGTGGTGTTGACCGCTGACTGCGGTGTTGAGTGCTGACTGCGGCGTTAAATGCTGACTGCAGTTTTGAGTGCTAACTGCGGTGTTGAGTGCTGACTGAGGCATTAAATGCTGAGTGTGGCGTTATGTGCTGACTGTGGTGTTGAGTGCTGACTGCAGTTGAGTGCTGATTGCGACATTAAGTATGGACTGCAGCATTAAGTGCTGAGTGCGGCCTTGAATACTTACAGCGGCCTTGAGTGCTGACTGCGACATTAAGTATTAACTGCAGCGTTAAGTGCTGACTGTGGTGTTAAGTACTGACTGAGGCGTTAAATGCTGACTGCAGTGTTGAGTGCTGACTGTGGTGTTGATTGCTGACTGTGGTGTTGAGTGCTGACTGCAACATTAAGTATTAACTACAGCATTAAGTACTGACGGCGATTTTGAGTGCTGACTGTGGCATTGAGTGCTGACTGTGGCATTAAGTGCTGACTGCGGTGTTGAGTGCTGACTGTGGCGTTTAGTGCTGACTGCAACATTAAGTACAGACTGCGGCGTTAAATGCTGACTGCGGTGTTGAGTGCTGACTGTGGTGTTGAGTGCTGACTGTGGCGTTGAGTGCTCAATGCAACATTAAGTGCTGATTGAGGCGTGAAATGCTTGCTGTGGCGTTGAGTGCTGATTGGGGTGTTGAGTGCTGACTGCAACATTCAGTATTAACTGCAGCATTTAGTGCTGACTATGGCGTTAAGTACTGACTGTGGTGTTGAGTGCTCACTACGACCTTGAATACTGACTGGAGCATTAAGTGCTGACTACATCATTGAATGCTGAATTCGCCGTTTAGTGATGACTGCGGCCTTGAGTACTGACAGGAACGTTAAGTGCTGACTGGGGCGTTAAGTGCTGACTACGGCATTGAGTACTGACAGGAACGTTAAGTGCTGACTACAGCGTTAAGTGCTTACTACCACGAGTACTGACTGCAGCGTTCAGTGTTTCCTTGCAGCGTTAAGTGCTGACTAGGGCGTTGAGAGTTGACTAGGTCGATAAGTGCTGACTACGGCCTTGAGTACTGACTGTGGTGTTAAGTGCTGACTACGGCGTTGACTGAGTGGGTGAATGAATGAGTGGGCGAGTAAGTGAACGAATAGGTTTGCCGGATGAATTAGTGAATAAGTGGGTGAGTGGGTGGATGAATGAGTGGGTAAGTGAGTGGGTGGATGTATGAGTGGGTAAGTGAGTGGGTGGATGAATGAGTGGGTAAGTGAGTGTGTGGATGAATGAGTGGGTAAGTGAGTGGGTGGATGAATGAGTGGGTAAGTGAGTGGGTGGGTTGCATGAGTGGGTGGATGTATCAGTGGGTACGTGAGTGGGCGGATGAATGAGTGGGTAAGTGAGTGGGTGGATGTATCAGTGGGTACGTGAGTGGGTGGATGAATGAGTGGGTAAGTGAGTGGGTGGATGCATGAGTGGGTGGATGTATCAGTGGGTACGTGAGTGTGTGGATGAATGAGTGGGTAAGTAAGTGGATGGATGAATGAGTGGATACGTGAGTGGGTGGATGTATAAGTGGGTAAGTGAATAGGTGGATGTATTAGTTGGTAAGTGAGTGGGTGGATGAATGAGTGGGTAAGTGAGTGGGTGGATGAATGAGTGGGTAAGTGAGTGGGTAAGTGAGTGGGTGGATGTATCAGTGGGTACGTGAGTGGGTGGATGAATGAGTGGGTAAGTGAGTGGGTGGATGTGTAAGTGGGTAAGTGAGTGGGTTGATGAATGAGTGGGTGGATGAATGAATGGGTAAGTGAGTGGGTGGATGAATGAGTTGGTAAGTGAGTGGGTGGATGAATAAGTGGGTAAGTGAGTGGGTGGATGAATGAGTGGGTAAGTGAATGGGTAAGTGAGTGGGTGGATGAATGAGTGGGTAAGTGAATGGGTAAGTGAGTGGGTGGATGTATCAGTGGGTACGTGAGTGGGTGGATGGATGAGTGGGTAAGTGAGTGGGTGGATGTGTAAGTGGGTAAGTGAGTGGGTTGATGAATGAGTGGGTGGATGAATGAATGGGTAAGTGAGTGGGTGGATGAATGACTTAGTAAGTGAGTGGGCGAATGAATGAGTGAGTAGGTGGTTGGGTTAGTTAAGAGGTGAGGGGGTGAATGAGTTGGGTTTTATGCCATACCACAGTGGGGGAAGCTGTCATTGATTTCAGTATCTGTAATCACGTGTATGTTGTAATGATATCGTTCGTACTATAGTATTGTTCGTACTGCTGACACACAGCAGCAGTTTTGTTTGTGTGTTTGTTGTTTAACGCCGCACTCAGCAATATTCCAGCTATATAACGGCGGTCATAATCGTGTCTTGATTGATATCGTGAGCATCGATCTACGCAATTTGGATACGATGGCATGCATCAAGCAGGTCAGCGAGCCTGACCACCCGATCCCATTACTCGCCTCTTACTACAAGCATAGTCGCCTCTTACAGCAAGACGGAGTTGCTGAAGGCCTATTCTAACCCGGATCTTCTCGGGTCCACACCAGACATGTTGATGGTTAGGTTCGTATTGCAAACACTTTAGCAGAAGAAGTATTCATAGTATCGTTCGTACTGCAATATACTCACAGCAGTAATAGAAGTGTTATAATATTCAGGCAAATAATAACAAGACACCAACTTTGCAATGCATAATTTTATTGCGAGTTTCTAGATGCTCTAGTAGGGCTGTCCGAGTTTTGACAAAACAATGTACACGGCGATAACAGACATCCATTCTGCGTCCTCAAACCACTGACATCACATTCCACAGGGCATCTTAACACAAGCAGGACCTGTTTCACAAACCGATCTTAAGTTTACCACTATCGTAAATCTATGGTTAAGAATAAGACAAGCGTAAACCTAAGATCACTTTGTGAAACGGTGTTCAGCTCTATGTAGACTGGAACGTAACGGACACACTGTCTATGGTAATTAATGCTGTGGCACAAACATGTTTTAGTGTACTATGTTAAAGCGGCTGGTATGCACGTAGAAGATGGGGCAGTGCAGGCATATGCAATGACACTTATGACAGTTTAATGACATCACTGATTTAATATATAAGAAAGGTATCACAGCTTACAATAGTCTAATGAATCACAGATCAACAATATAATTATGATATCACTTATTTATGAAAGTGTGATAATGATATGTTCTTTAAGTGTTTGTTTGATTGATTGATTGATTGATTGATTGATTGATTGATTGATTGATTGTACTTTAACGCCGCACTCGGCAATGTTCCAGCTATATGACGGCGGTCTGTAAAAAATCGAGTCTGGACCAGACAATCCAGTGATTGACATCGTGAGCATCGATCCATGAAATTGGGATACGATGAGATACGATGCATCAACCAAGTCAGCGAGCCTGACCACCCGATCCCGTTAGTCGACAAGCATAGTCGCCTTTTACGGCAAGCATGAGTTGCTGAAGACCTATTCTAACCCGGATCTTCACGGGTCGTGCAATAGTGTAATGATATCAGTGATGTACAATAGTCCAAAGACATCACTATTTACATTACAGTAATGAAAAACCATCATTCATAATCGGGAGCAACTATCGTCAGATCCTAAGGGAGGCAACTCTGCAAAGCGGACTTTAAGTGAGGCGCAAATGTGAACAGCGCCACGCTCCTTCCCAGCGCGTTACGCCTTCGTTACACTCTCGGTAACATAGAGCTCCTCGAACGGACTATCGCTGTGAGGAGCTTCCTAAGGGAGGCAACTGATCAAAAGGGAAGCATGTCTGCATTTGCTTTGATGACCCAAATCATAAGTTTAAAAAATTTGAACAATTTCGATGGGATACAATAAAAGCATCAAGCGCATATACCATGTAAGTATTATTCAAACAGTCATCCCCTGAGAAATTGAAACGACTTTGCAACGTTTAATTCAGAAGAACATACTCCTAAATGTGACGTCATAATGTTCCTCACGCAGGCTTTGCAACGAGAAAGACAGGGCGATAAAAGTCGCGTTGAACAGTCTAGGAACTGCAACACGGTATTAAGATACGTTTATGAAGTAATATCAGTATTTACAATTGCCTGCCAGGGGAGTATGTGATAAAAGTGCTTCTGAATAAATAATATTATCTTCTTTCGCAGTGACGCGGCAATCATCGAAACAATTATCAAACACTCGCGGACCAATCAGAATGCAGGATTCTAAAATAGCATAGTAGAATACTCGTAAAGCAAGACAGTATACAGGCTCAAAACATCTGACGTTTGCTTAAAATTTTAAAGAACGTTGTCTGGATATCAGGAAAGGGGTCGTAGTGTTGTTTTTCTGACAATCATGCTTCAGTAAATCTCACAACGCGAACCTCTTCCGCTTGGCAGCGCTGATCCTGGTTGTCGCAACTGTCGTACAATGTGACGGTGAGGTTGTGCAGGTCGGGCGCGTTGGCCTCGCAGAAGTTACCAGGAATGACAAAAAGGTCACTTATCAATGGCCTATATCCCCGACATAGAGAGTTGCCTTCCACCCATGCAAGTTGGACACGTTTCGTTGATGAGAACGCGGTGGTACTGATGGTGACACGGCGTATGTCGCTGCAGGTGTTGCTGATGACGACATAGACGTAGATGTGTTGCTGCAGCACCGTCCCACAGTAGGGCGCACATCGGACCTTCCAGGGTGCCAGGCTATCTGTGAAGCAAAGAGGGAGGTTTGAGTGACTGTGGGTTCAAGGATATAATCTTACCTTCATGTCAGATTGTTGAGATCTGATTGGTTCACGTGATCTTGATAAAATACTTCGTCTCGTATCTCTTCATTGAAATACTAGCTTCGGATTGGTTAAGGAGAGGGAAAATTATTTTCCATGTAGCCCGCTCATGTACCCACCTCAGAAATCAATCGTAAAATACCTTAGGTAACTTGCTTATCTCGTATAAGTATCGTGTAGCTGAAATGAACCGATGTTCATTTGAATGCATTGGGTAAAGGGAAGTAACTCGGACCGTATGCGTCGTCTGTTCGTTGTCAAAATGGCTGAAACAAAGCGTTTTACTCAGTGAAACTTCGGACATGTATATGCACAAGTTAACCTCAACTCAAACGAACAGCAGTTTTCTATCAGTTTTCAATTTGTTATAAATTGTTTTTACAATGGCAGATTGAAACAAGGCTCGTGGTATAAACATAACGCGCGACGCATAAACCACGTATACCCCGCGCGATACTGCTACATCCACAGACGATACACCGGTTTAGGGTTTCTGCTACAACTTATAATAATTGTGTTTCCAGGCATATTAGGTACCCACTATTTAATACGTGGTGTCTGGGGACTTATCATTGCTTAAAAGCAATTTTGTTCCATGAAAAGAGAAAAACTTTAAATTACTTTTTTCTCAGGACATTCAGCATGTTCATCAAACTACATTATTTGATGAAGCCCAGGGACAATATATTTATTTCCATTTACCTCGTGTTGAACGGTATTTCAGATATATCACGGCGTGTCTGCTTGAAGTAATGCAGGTCCTAGACGTCAAACTCACGAGGACCCACGAATACGTAAAAGTATTATTGATGAAAACTGAATGTAGTTCCGACATGAAGTACTGTTTCACTGATAAAATATTTTCAGATAATTTAAGTTTTTCATCACCAACACTGTATATTCTAAAATTAATCTTATAATTATAGGAGAGTGAGTGAGTTGAGTTTAACGCCGTTTTGTACAGCTGTTCACGTCGCGTCCACTGAAGAGATGCAGATCGAAGTTTATCACTTTTGTGAACTCACAAGCAGTGTCGATGTTGACAAAATCACGAACCATAATCAAAACGAATCTGGGATTCGAACCAAGGATCATCGGATTCTGGCACGCCTCAGGGACGCAACTCTGCACAGCGAATTGCAGACTTTAGACGACAGGTCCACCCGTGTTTCCTAAGATTCAGAAGTGAATCCTGATTTACTTAGCTTCAATTCAATACTTATGTTTAATTTAATTAATTTCAAGCATTTTAAATAACCGTCCCTCCGATTGAGGTAAGAATGTTTGATCATAACAATACTAAACGTATTCAATATCTAACTGGTAAAGCAAGATCAGATTCATGTTTATCATATTATGAAGATCCGGGTTAGAATAGGTCATCAGCAACCTATGCTTGTCGTAAGAGGCGACTAACGGGATCGGGTGGTCAGGCTCGCTGACTTGCATGTCATCGAGTACCATTTGCGTGGAGCGATGCTCATGATATCAACCACTGGATTGTCTGTTCCAGGCTCGATTATTTACAGATCGCCGCCATATAGCTGGAATATTGCTGAATGCGTCGTTAAAAAACAAACAAACAAACGAAACTTTTTAGAAACCTATAACTCCCAACTTCATGTATTATAAGTATACATTTTTTATATACGAGGGGCTTCAATTAGTTTTGCAACTTGGGCATTTGTGTTTACACAAACAATGTCAACTTGTGGCAGGTGTGACACCAGTCATAACATCAGGTTGACACGTGTCATATAAATGTATATAACAAGTTCCAGACACAACAATAAGTTCGATGTGATGGCTTCATTCGCCTAAGGGTGGTCACAATCATGGATTCTGTCAAACATGAACAACGCGCTGTAATAAAGTTCCTTACATGCTCCGGTTCACAAGTCGAGAATTGCACGGGCCGCCATATATGAATTTGGATTCGAACAGTTAAATCACCCACCCTTCAGCCCAGACTTAGCCCCCAGTGACTATTTCCTGTTCCGGCAAATGAAATCTGCCCTAGGTGGAAGGCTGCCACAGAGGCGTGGTTAGAGGGCCAATCTGCGGATTTCTATAAAACTGGTATTAAAAGCTTGAAGGACAAATGGAATAAGTCTATTGAGGTGAATGGAGGTTATATTCAAAAATAAAAGTGCAAAAGATATTCTGCGACTTGGTCTTATATTGAAGTTGTAAAACTTATTGAACGCCCCACGTACTTCAGTGTCAGAGTTTTCTGAAGTTGAGAAAAGTTACATTTTCATTGCAGTGAACATAACACTTGATATTTCACTGTAATTACAATAACACTTTGACGGAACTATTGTCGTACAAGAGCTACCTTCTCGCAAATTATCTCCCATTTAGTGTAAGTGTCTGGCATGAACACAAACTGTTAACTTCCTTTTTACGATAGTTCCACAATGACAAGGCAAAATAATGACAGAAGGTCATTTCCGGATTTAATATCGCTTCTTGCCGTTTGTCATTCTCTTGAAAATGTTTCGGTATCGTATCGGAGTGAAATTCATGCAAGTTATTATTATCAAGTTATCATGCAACTATTATTTCAAGTTTCAAGTAAATACTTTCTTTGCCAAGCATTTTACATACATTTCCGCTCATTCTTTCAGTGAGCAACGTTTGTTTGTTTTTTTGTTTGTTGTTAAACGCCGCTCTCAATCTCATTAAAACAGATCTTTGTTCTCGCTTCCGAACTAAGCTCTGATTTTAATGAGATTGACGCCGCTCTCAGCAATATTCCAGCTACATGACGGCGGTCCGTAAATAATCCAGTCTGGACCAGACAATCCGATGAGCATGGGTTGCTGAAGACCTATTCCACCCCGATCTTCACGTCTGTGCAATTTCCCTTTTTTTAATTGACATTGTACAACATTGCCTCAAGCCTACGACGGGCGTTGGGGTAGCATTGTGGTTAAAGTGTTAACTCGTCAGGCCAAAGGCCCGGGTTCGAGTTTCAACATGTGAAGCCCATTTCTAGTGTCCAAGCCGCGTTATTGCTGCAATATTGCTACAAGCGGCGTAAACCAACTCACACTCGCTCAAGTCTGTGTGAACGGTCTACCTTACCACAATCTGAAGCTAAGGTCGACGCTGGATAGAAGGTCTCGTTAGCGATGAGACTGGCCACTGTCCGTGCACAGAACCGCTCCTTAAAAGCCCTGCTCCCCAAATCTGGAAAGGAAAAAAAGATGTGTTTGATATTAAATTTGAAATCACATGTTCGGGAATACCAAATATTATTTCAAATCTGACACTGTAGACAATGTTTCGTAGACAATAGGGGGGCGTGGGTGGTCCAGTCATCTAAAGAACCGCAATGTGCTATACATGCATGCCAGATACCATTCATCCGGGGTTCTAAACCCCTATCCGTCCACACCGTTTCTTGATCTGTCACATCTTCCCGAGGTAAGGGAGTTAACTGACTATGAAAGTTTCCGCCCTTGTAGAACTAGGCTGGAATTCCGGAGCTGCATTTTGGCTAGATTAACGAGTCTATGTATAGGCCAATCAAAATCGCGTAACGAAATCGACATCCGGTTCGTACACACCATGAATTTCAACCTGCTGATTTCGGACGACTGCGGGATTTGCAAAACATGTGTACCGCCAACTGGGCTTCTAACAGATATTTCCAAATCTTTTCATGTTTTTAATCAAGGAGCTCAAGTGAGTTAAAGTACTTCGCGATGTAAGACCCGTTTTATTACAATATAGATATTGATTATCCATCAGATCGTCTTGACTGGGCGCAGCCATTTTGTTTTAAGCAAATGCAAGTTGATATGAGAAGTGGAATCTGATTGGTTAATAGGAGGGACATATAAGTGACATAGTTCGTAATAGCAACTGGTGGCGCTACGATCGAGCCCCGAAATTTCAGCCCAGTTCGACCAAGGTGAAAACTTGACTTTTACAGTCAGTTGCCTCCCTTGCTTCGGAATGATCGATCAAAACCATACTTAACGTATTCTATATCTAAATGGTAAACCAGGATCACATTCTTGTTTATCATTTTGTGAAGATCCGGGTTAGAATTGGTCAGCAACACATGCTTGTCGTCAGAAGCGACTAACGGTATCCCAATTGCGTAGATCGATGCCTATGATGTCAATCACTGGATTGTCTGGTCCAGACTCGATTATTTACAGACCGCCGTCATAAACTGGAATATTGCTGAGTGCGGCGTTAAACAACAAACAAACAAACAAAACACTTGCCAAACATGGACGCCATTATCACATTCTAATGATCAACCGGTCGAAAGAATCAACGCAAAGTAAGAAAATATATTCTATGCCTTTCTGCCATAAAGCTGACACACCGGAATATTACTGAAATGGTGATCAAACGGTGTTCAACACCCACTCACTCACTCACTCACTCCCTCACTCACTCACTCACTCGTGTACTTGAGTCAAATCTTGGTCTGCAACACAGAACTTAACAACAGTGTCAATACTATGTTCCAAGATAAAATGAAATGGAAATAACGTTACACGTTGCAATAACTAATTTTCGTACTGTTATGACAATTAATATAAGAAATGGTTGGAAAATGGCTGAGAAAAGATTGGAAAATGGTTCAGTCAACAACCGATTAAGAGTTAAGTAAAGAGGATAAATTATACAAATTCCAACGTTCGATAAATTGTGGTTAGAGTTCGACTTATCAGAGTAGGGTCAAAATAGTGGTACATATGATAACAGTTTGCCAGCACCGAACTACCGAGTTCAACACAACGGTGGGTTGGACAGATCCGAGTTTGACACAGCGGGTTTCGAATGTATTACATAGAGGATTCATCACGAGTGTTTTTTAATATGGGAAATATCAACCGAGTCTTAGTTAATCGGTATTTGCCGAGCCTTTGGCGAGGCAAATACCGATTAACGGGACGAGGTTGATATTTCCCATATTAAAAAAACACGAGTGATGAATTCTATTTATCATTTTCACATTTGTGCTTCCAAATTAAGGAATAATTGCATTAAACATTAACATCGAAATCTTACGTATAGATCGTGCGTAGTGATACATGTTTTCCATAGCCATGTAAACCAAAATAAACAATTCGCTGAGAAAAAAAGTTCCTCGGATTATTTTAAACAAAATACTTGAACAGACTTTTGCAGAATAATTGAAACTTTAATAACGGTAACAACAACGATTCTGTGTAATCTGATTATATCTCTGGTGTAACTTCACTTATAATATATAGTTTCAAATCAAACCGCTCGCTCTTCCGGTTATCTAATTTGCATATCCAATTTGCATACTTATGTCATTTGGGTATGACATACATGTTTTTATGACATAAGCTTATGTCATGGATAAATGCTTAAGTTAAATGATAAATTACTCTAATATAGACAGAAGCGAGTGAGTTTACTCAAAGTGACTGAGAATGGTTTTACGCCGCGTTTAGCAATATTCAAGCAATATCACGGTGGGGGACATCAGAAATGGGCTTCGCACATTGTACCCAAGTGGGGAATCAAATCTTCGGTATGACGAGCGAACCTTTTCACCACTGGGCTAGGCCCACGCCCCGACATTCTTCAAACGAACGTTGAGCGATTGAGATCTGTGAACAATGTGCGCGCTTTTGGCAGCTGTGTTGCATGCTGAAAACATGCCACAAAAAGACTAAGGCTGAAAGTTCAAGCGGCGATTAGGGTAGTGGTTGAAACGTTGACTCGCACAGAACACGGCCTTATTCCCAAGTATGGCACTAGAGTCTGGGGTCCTGGCGTCCCGTGTTCTGATTTAGCTCAAAGAGGCGTGCAACAATACTAAACCGGTAAATCGACTACGGAATTGGAAACCCCTTCCATCATATTATGAACAGTGAGTGAGTATGGTTTTACGCCGCTTGTAACACTATCTCAGCAATATCACGGCGGGGGACACCAGAAATGGGCTTCACACTTTGTACCCATGTCGGGAGTCGAACCCGGGTCTTCGGCGTGACGAGCGAACGCTTTAACCAGTAGGCTACCCGACCACCCATGTAATGAACAGAGTTATCGATGACAATCTGATCAATCTAAGTACAGCATCGCGATCCGATACAAATTAGGCCATTTAAATTTTAGTCCTAAGCTTAGATACTTCGTACGCTTACATAGAGGTTTTCAAATATGTGTGCCAATGTAATGGCTCGAATATTTTGGCACTGACTATTAATATATATAATTGGAGCTGTTCACTCTGGCAATTTCTTTTCTAAAGTTACTTTATTGAATGAAAACCTCAATGAAATCAGATGTTTTACTCCCATATTCTCGGCGTGAAACGCCTTCATAGAAAATCGCGTGGGATGACCCCTCAGCGAACTTTGACCTACCACTGTAAATGAAGGATGTCTGTGTCCTTGAGCCAATCAGATATCAGCTTTCATAAACGATATGGGTTCATGTTGCTACCTCCATTCGGAAATCTTGTTTTTGACCCCAAAAACAGAACTGTTATGTTCATTAGATGGGACTCCCTTTTCGGCTAGAATGGCGCTCAGAAACGACGTGATGTACAGCAAATCCATAACTATAGAATAGCGCAGCCTTTATCATACACATTCGGAACAGGACAGTAAAACTCGTTTTCAAGATCAGATATGCTTCGCTCATTCGTACCGAGAATTAAGCCTCGCGCTGAAAGGCGGATTAAAAGGTTTAGCTGACACAAATGTCAACAAAAGTGTCGTCACATCTTGGGGCCGAGGGCTGTCCTATCATAGTAAATGGTCAGAGTTTAATGACATTGTGTCACATCTCCGATGATAAAGAGATTGTTGTCCTCGTGTTTCGGTATAGTAAATATCATTTATGTGTAATTAAGGCTCGCTTAATAGGTCTTTTATTCCTGATATATAGAGAAACAGTGGAAACGCATAATCAACTTTATCTCAAAATAAGTAGAGATGTGGGGTTTTTTTTGGCACAAGCACATGGAATGAGATTCGAATCCGTACGACGACAATGTAGTGTTTGATTAACTCATGCCTAAATACCTACACTTGATTTGATTTTTGTGGCCATTTTGACAAATGTTAGAAAACATTCCGTTTTCAAAGTATTTCAGTATTAAACAAAGGGACAAAAGAATGTACACCGAGTTTGTGTTTTTAATTTAATTATAAATTGTTGTGACATTTGATTATGTCTATTTAACCATCACTCATTCCTGCAACAGTTTGTGAAAAGTTATATGTGGCTGGGTAATTTTGTGTGAGTGAGTGAGTTTGGTTTAACGCCGCTTTTATTCCAGCAATATCACGGCGGGGGACCCCAGAAATGGGCTTCACACATTGTACCCATTTCGGGATTCGAACCCGGATCTTCGGCGTGACGAGCGGACGCTTTAACCACTAGGCTACCCGACCGCCCAAATTGTGTGAACATAAATTGGTTAAATGAAGACGGGGTCAGAAATGAATTTGCAAGCACATGACCCCTACCCTGTTTGAAATGACGTACATTTGTGCCGAAAAAGCTAAATCTATTGATTTTCAAAGATAAGATCTTAACATAACCATCAGCAGTTGTGTATTATGCGAATGTTTCTTTTATAATTTTTAAATTTTAAATCAAATTAGTTTTTAAAAAAACAAACCATGTAGAACTATTATATGAGCGGTGACTAAGCACCAGTAAAGTTCATTTTTTATATAATATCACTAACTTAAGATATTTTCAACGAAAAATCAAACATATGGTGAATTCGACTGAGAGGTATGATTTCGTTTGCCCCTTAGTTTTTCAATGATAATTACGATGCGGTGAGGTGAGGTGAAATGGGGTTTAACGTCGCGTCCAAGATTATTGCACTTATATAGCGACGTACATGTACGTGTGTGTGTTTGTGTGGCTGCTTGTACTAGTCCGGACTGATGCCGATTTATAGTGCTAGGTCACTGAGATACCATGCCGCAGTTTATCATGAATACCCCACTCAGACACAGTATACTGACTCCGAGCCGACCAGTCCTTGATGCCGAGCGCTAGACAGGGTAACAACAAGAACCATCTTTTAACGTCTTTTGGTATGACGCGGTCGGGGATCGAACCCGCTCTCCGGGCGGTCGCTCTACCACTAGACCACGGAGGCGGTCAATTACGATGCGGAAACACACTTGACAAATAATCTCATAACATATGAACATACTTACATGGTAAGGACCCAAGGATAGGACGATTCGGCGCTACCAACACCATCGCTGCAATCATCACAAGGACTGGTACATGTTGTCGCGCCATTCTCTTTAACCTTGACGGGACTGTCTGAAGCCTCGTCTTTGGAATAGGTCTGACAACTATATATGTGCTCTAATAGGTTTATTTAATCTTACCACATAGATCATTTTGAACTGCTAAATTTGTTCTTATCGAGTCTCACCACGGAAACACAGAACCCACTTATGACGTCATATCTGGTTTCCAATTGGTGTCAAGCAGTACAGTGCAATATCTTAAGGTCGGGGTGTTCTTCATGTGTGAGGTACAGTAACCTTAACAAAAAAGAAAACTTTCCTGATAACCATGGAAACAAATGATTAATGCGGGTGGGTGAGAGGGTGTGGGTGGGTTACATGGTGTGGGTGTTTGTGTGTGTGTTGGGGGGGGGAGTCTGGACAATATCCGTGGATCCAGAGTGGCCAGAGGTGGATGGGCAGGGGTCATCAGTGAGGTCACTGATATTATAGTAGTCCATTTTCATAGTCAGTTAACTCCCTTGCCCCGGGAAGGTTGCAGGGTTACGCATCTCCCTCATTGAAGCATACACTATTTGTTTGGCAATATTCGAGCTATGTGACGGCGGTCTGTCATGCCTCAAAGTTGCGACTAAAACGATCGCCAATTCGACCTAAATTTCAATTTGTCTACTGTCTAAAACTCAGAGGTAGCCAAATGACTTCCTTGAAAATATCTTGTGGCGACTAAATTCTATTGCTTCACATTTGAAGACACAAAAATAGATAACAGCTGATTGTGGAAAACATGTCTGCTAATCATTGTACTTGCGTATGTCCTCCTAAAGTCAACAATGAACAGAAATACATATTAAATATTAATGTTATTAGTATTTTATTTCAGTTGACAATGCTCATTGGATAAGCAAGGATATACCTAAATAATCCTGTAGCATAAATTGCATCATTGTTTGATCAAATACAGTTTCCACTAATATACAATTTGAAGACTAGTGCTATGACTTGTACATATTATGAGAGTTATTTGATAAAAGATCATTTCAAATGCTTTAGCTACCTACAATATTGGATTGACTTCTTGATTTTACCACTGGCTACCTGGAAAAGAATGCTTGTACCCACATGGCTACTTGGTAAAAATTGAAACTTTGAGGCCTGCAGTCTGTGAATACATGCTTCCCTTCGGAATTCCGATGGGTCTTTGAAGATTACTGATCCTATTGACGTAAAGTCACATTGTGCTTTTTTTCAACAACATAGCAAATATACAACTACGTTTTAGCTACAAAATGATGGACAAAATGGAAATATTGGTAGGAATATCATCGGACATAATCACATGGTTGACAAGTCATTTTTCTTTGTTTTACATGCAATTCTAGGAATTCTGGACTTATTAAATACATAAAGTTAAAGTGAATGGAAAAGGCGTTTCAAACATCTAAAGAAAGTATGAGGAAGTCCTATGATGAAGGTGCTACCGTATGTTTGTAGTGCTTTTATCTACGCTACGTTACCTGAAGACCTCTAAAATTAGCATTTTGGGACTCATTTTAGACTAACCTATACATTTATTTTGGATATTATTCCAAAACGTGCAATAGATTAAAAGAACAAAGTCTACTTTTCATTCATATCAGCCAGGGAGTATATTCAAGCAGTGTCTCAGCTGGCACACCTGAAATGGGCTTCATACATTGTTCCCATATGGTTTGTGGTGGGTGAGTTGGGTTTAACGCCGCTTTTAACAGTATTCCAGTTATATCGCGGCGTGTCAGCTTAATGTGGGAGGAAAGCCCGAAGTGATGCAGGTCTCAGACGTTTACCACTTCGGTGAAACCCACGAGCACGGGTATGATGCTGACAAACCTAGAAACATAATCGGGGCGAACCGGGATTCGAACCCACAATCATAGGTTTCTGGCGTGTCCAAGGGACGCAACTCTGCACAGCGAATTGCGGCGCCTTAGACGACTGGTCCACCCGTGCCCCCCGTACCCATATGGAGAATGGAACCTGAGCCTTCGGCGTGACGAGCGAACGCTTTAACCACTAGACTACCCCAATGCACCTCATACCAAGAGATTTGCCCTTTGCAGAGATAATATCTAGATTTCACACACGCGCCCATCACGACGTTCAGAGCTTGAACGAAAAGGGACAAAATAGAGCATAGCGTTAAGTCTACCGTCAGTATACAAGCTAGTAAAGGGTTTGTGATTACTTACTGTGATACTTAGAACCCTGTTCCATGTACAACTCAAAATAAGTAAAAGATCACCCTCAATCCACCAGCCGTAACAGATTAACTATGGAAAAATCGGACGCCACACTCAGCAATATTCCAGCCATATGACGGCGGTCTGTACATAATCAAATCTGGAACAGACAATCCAGTGATTGACGCCACACTCAGCAATATTCCAGCCATATGACGGCGGTCTGTACATAATCAAATCTGGAACAGACAATCCAGTGATTGACGACACACTCTGCAATATTCCAGCAATATGACAGCGGTCTGTTAATATTCCAGTCTGGAACAGACAATCCAGTGATTGACGACACACTCTGCAATATTCCAGCAATATGACAGCGGTCTGTTAATATTCCAGTCTGGAACAGACAATCCAGTGATTGACGACACACTCTGCAATATTCCAGCAATATGACAGCGGTCTGTTAATATTCCAGTCTGGAACAGACAATCCAGTGATTGACGCCACACTCAGCAATATTCCAGCCATATGACGGCTGTATGTACATAATCAAATCTGGAACAGACAATCCAGTGATTGACGACACACTCTGCAATATTCCAGCAATATGACAGCGGTCTGTTAATATTCCAGTCTGGAACAGACAATCCAGTGATTGACGACACACTCAGCAATATTCCAGCAATATGACAGCGGTCCGTTAATATTCCAGTCTGGAACAGACAATCCAGTGATTGACGCCGCAATCTGCAATATTCCAGCAATATGACGGTGGTCTTTAAATAATCTAGTCTGGAACAGACAATCTAGTGATTGACACCGCACTCTGCAATATTCCAGCCATATGACGGTGGTCTTTAAATAATAACAGACAATCCAGCGATTGGCATCATGAGCATCGATCCACGCAATTGGGATACGATGGAATGCATCAACCAAGTCAGCGAGTCTGACCACCCGATCCCCTTAGTCACCTCATAAGACAAGAAAAGTCGCCTCTTACGACAAGAATGAATTGCTAAAGACCTATTCTACGCCGGATCCTCACGGGTGTTGATATGTTTATTGATATTGAGAAGTTCTCTGGGTATTTTGTAATACCTGTTTGGGGGGATGTTTAACAGAAAAGTGAGATCTGATTGTGAAAAATTACTGATCGAGTTGATATTTTTCTTGTTATATTCAGAGTGAATGAGTTTAACGCCACTTTGAACAATATTCCACTTACATCACGGCGTGTCAGCTCAATGTGTGAGGAAAGCCCGAAGTGGTGCAGGTGTCAGACGTTTACCATTTTTGTGAAACCCATGAGCACGGGTATGGTGCTGACAAACCTAGAAACATAATGGAGGCGAACCTGGACTCGAAGCTTCGAGCTTAGTTTTCTGGCGTGCCTAAGGGAGGTAACTCTCTTCAGCGAATTGACGACTGGGCCACCCGCGCTTGCTGAAAATAGTGTGAGCATCGATTACGTCTATAACGATAACACATATCATAAGTTACGTGACCCGTGAAGATCCCGGTGATGATTGGCCTTCAACAACCAATGCTTGTCATAAAAGGCGACTCTACTTGACTTAAGAGACGACTGTGCTTGTCGCAAGAGGCGAGTAACGGGATCGGGTGGTCAGGCTCGCTGATTTGGTTGCTGCATGTCATCGTATCCCAATTTCGTGGATCGATGCTCATGATATCAATGACTGGACTGTCTGGTCCAGACTCAATTACTTACAGACCGCCGTCATACAACTGGAATATTGCTGTGTCCGGCAACAAACAAAGATCAGCAATGTCTAATAAGTGGAGAATTGCAGTTTTCAGTTAAAATGATTTCAATGTGGACCAGAAGTTTTGAAAGAAGTGACAATACCACGAACTCTCGAACCAAGCCGTTGTAACATAATTGACATAATAATACTGACCTCCCCCTTGTCTGGAAATACGAGTAACTATAATAATACCGATGGTCCTCGGGGGGGGGGGGGGGGGGGGGGGGGGGGGGTCTCCGTGTATTTAAAGCATATTGTAAAATGAATAGGATTTTGTACTGTAATCTGATTGGTTGAAAAATATCGTTAAATGGGATTGGATCCAGGAGATCACACTGCGTATGAACACTTTTCTTGGTACTTTCTTCTCAATTCAAAGTTTGAAAAACGTGCAATTCGGCTTGGTGAAACGCATACCACGTTAATTAAATTTGATCATTATTTATCAGAACAACTCTGATTTGATTGTTAACACGTTTTTCTCTTAATTTGACATTCGATTATTTTTTTCGAATACGTGACGTCGTTGCCGTTGCGCCAACATGCCGTATATTATTTCATATGCAACGGAAGTTTATTTATCTCCGAAGGTCCGTAGACCCGGCGTCACTTCGGGATTCCAAGTTAAACTTGGTCCCCAAATGCAACTTTTTGCCACACAACACGACAGAATGCATCGGGTGGTCGGAGCTGGTCTGTTTGTTTGTTTGTTGATTAACGCCACACTCAGCAATCTTCCAACCATATGACGGCGGTCTGTTAGTAATTGAGTCTGGATCAGACAATCCAGTGATTGACATCATAAGCATCGATCCATGCAATTTGGATACGATGACATGCATCAAAGTCAGCGAGCCTGGCCACCCGATCCCCTTAGTCGCCCCATAAGACAAACATAGTCGCCTCTTACGACAAACATGAGTTTCCGAATACCTTTGCTAACCCGGATCTTCAGGAGTCTCGGAGCTGGTCATATCAGTCACCTGTGCGGCTTTAAACAAGAAACAAAGGTGTTCCTATTTTGCAGATATGCATTTTCAATTAACTTTGATTCAACGTATATTATGACTGTCTTCTTAAAGAGTGAGTAAATGGGCGAGTGGGTGAGTGAGTGAGGTATCAGGTTTATCATGACTTTCTGCTTAAAGAGTGAGAGAATGAGCGAGTGGGTGAGTGA